AAGCGCCAGACCTACGTGGCCAAACTCCCCGGGGGAAAGAGGGCGAGGACGGAGGCGGACAAGGAGCGCGCGCGCGAGTACGAGAAGACCCCGGCCAGGAAGGCGTCCAAGCTGGCCCGCAAGGAGGCGAACCCGGAGAGGTGGGCGCAATACAGCAAGGACTCGCGCGCACGCCGCCGGGCGGCTGACCCAGAGGGGTATCTGGCGAAGGCGGCGGCCGACCAGATGCGCTTCCGCAACCGCACGAGGCAGATCAGCTTCGAGGGGGAGGAGGGAAGCATGGAGCAGACGACCGCCGCTCAGATCATCGAGGAGATGGACTCGTGCTGCTTCTTCTGCGGAGAAGCCCACACCAATGAGAAGCCTCTCGGTGTTCATCGCCTGGACACGTCGGGGGATTGGACTGTCGACAACTGCGTTCCCGCGTGCACCTTGTGCTGGAACATGAAGAGAAAGGTGGACGCAAAGACCTTCGTGGAACGCTGCGCGCACATTGCGGCGATCACGAATGGCGGCGGTGTATCAGTATTCCCTGCAGACATCTTCGGTGACCATCCAGGTGCTGGCGAGTACAATGGATACCAGTGCAGTGCCAGGAAGAGAGGAATCCCGTTCGAGCTTTCGCCATCCGACTTTCAGGAGAAGCTTGCTGGAGACTGCTATATTTGCGGCAAGGCCAACTCTGCCACGCACAACAATGGACTTGACCGTGTGGACAGTTCGCTTGGGTACACTTTTGACAACGTGCGCACAGCTTGTGGAGATTGCAACTACATGAAGGCAGATACTGGCATCGACAAGTTTCTCGAGCAGGTGGTCAAAATCGAGAAGAGGGCCGCCATTACTCTACAGTACATTCCCAAAGACATCAAGCGAAGCACTTTCGTTCTGCAGAGGAACTAAGTCTTGGCTGGGACACTGTTTTAAGGTTCTCGGGTTTGAGTGTAGCGTTGTGGGCATTTGAAGTTTCCTAATAACGGTAGGGTTTGATAAGACGCACACTTGTTGATATTCGTCTTTTGCAGCGTATACACAGTACATAAGTGCTTAGTTGAGTTCAGAAACCATGACATCAACGGTTGTGGGAATATGCTTGAGGCTTTGTGGTCAATTGTAGGGTGTTGGAAAGTTGCAGGTGATTAGAATAGGCCAGGGGTCACTTGCTAAACCAAATGTAAATACTCGTCCGTGCAGCAGCTTTGTGTATCCAGATTCAGAGTGTTAGGTTGATTTTGAACACGGTTCTTTCAAAATGAGACTTGCTTTTTGTTAGTGTTTTACACCTTTGACACAGCATATGTGGTACCTGGGCATATTTGCAACCATGTGAAATGAGCATGCTGATGCCTTTCTTCAAGGAACAGGGACACCGTGGCCCAGACGACCTGATAGTCCACAAGAGGTCAGGAGTTATACTCGGTTTCCATAGATTAGCAGTTATCAACACTGCTCCAAATGGCATGCAGCCTTTTCAAGCTTTGGTTCATACGTCAAACTGCAACGGTGAGATATACAACTTGCATGATGGCGATTTCGCTTTCTTTGCGATCATCGAAGAGACATGCAACTTCGTTGTGGCTGGAGATCCGGTTGACGTTCGCCCCCTGTTCTATGGACGTGTGAGAGTGGTAGTGTGATTGCATTTGCAAGTGAAGCTAAAGCACTCATGGGAATACATGAAGTGCAGACAGTGAATGTGTTCCCTCCCGGACATTACTGGACCATGTCGGAGGGATTCCACTCGTATGCAGACATCTATGAGTATTTTAGAGCTCTGCAAATTGCCAACATGCATGAAGTGATCCGCTTGTAAAGAAGTGAATATTGCATAGTGACGTTCCAGTGGCGTTGCTGTGCAGTGGTGGGTTGTATTCATCATCAATTCTGGCTATTGCATCCCAGCTCTCAATAAAGAGTCGACTGGAGGTTTTTTCAATCGAGTTGAAGGGTGGTCGCAGTGTAGAGGCACTTTATGCTGGCATGATAGCCTCATCTGGGGGTGAAGGAAAAGCCTTGCAGAAGTCGTACTGGTGTGTGAGACATACGATCCCAACACGATACATGCTGCAATTCCGCTAGAGAATACTGCCTCCATGGGTTTGTGAGAGACGGACAAAGAACGAACAGCAACTAATGGCGATCACGATTTCAAGAATCCTCAAGAGCAAGTTGCAGTTGCCATTGAGCATTCAATCTGCAGATCAGATGCATGTGGGCAAAGTCGGGGACACTACGTGCTATCACCTTATGCTGCAGGAGCAGTGACTAAACATTCGAAAATACGGGCCGGCCATAACATGCATAACAATAATGAACGATTGTAAGTGTGTGAGCGAGACCGGACATATCGTGAGCGTTGTGAGCCATAAGCAAGACCAGCCATACCCCTCAGTTGCTATATGCAAGCCCCGCCATCCCGGACATGATACGTAAAATGTTGTAGTTCACAGCATACACGGAGATCTTGGCAGGATCCTCCGTATTGAGCCCCAAATGAAGCGCAGCGTTGTCGATCCTACTGAAGTTGCAAGTACCACTTGGCTGGTGCTCTTCCGGTTTC